TACTGGGAAATATGGACTTGTAGGCCTGAGAAGATGTTTCCATAGATAAATTGCATGCTATACAAGCTTGAGTACTGACTTTGAATCTCCATCATTGATAGAAAATCTGGGAGAGCATTGTCAGCCTACTTATAATCCCAGTGCTTGAGTGGAAGAGATGGGGAAATCCTTGTGGCAAGCTGGCTAGATAGGCTAGCCAAATTGGCAAGCTCTGTGTTCAGCAGGAGACTCTGACTCAGTAAATATGGTGAAAAGTGACTGAGGAAGATGCCACATATCAACCTCTAACATTTACATGCATGAAGATACATGTATGCTTGCAGACATGGAAGCATACAGATGGAAGCAAACACACACACACACACACACACACACACACACACACACACACACACACACTTTATATGGCTGTCCCCTTCCATCTGTGAAAAGATTGTTATACATTCAAAGATTTTTCTATGAACAGCACAGGTCTAACTGCTTTGTATAGTGTCCAAGTTAGTTTTTGTCAACTTGATATAAGTTACAGTTATCTGGGAAGAGAAAATTGAATTGAGAAACAACCTCCATTAAGCTGCCTGTAGGAAAATATGTGAGGCTTTTTCTTGATTAATTAATAGGAGAGGACCCAGCCCACTGGGGTTGTTTCCATCCCTGGGCAGATGGTCCTGGGTTCTACAAGAAAGCAGGCTGAGCAAGCCAGTAAGTGGCATACCTCCATGGCTTCTGCTTCAGTTTCTGCCTCCAGATTCCTGCCTTGAGTCCCTGCCCCAACTTCCCTCAGTAATGAATAGTAACCTAGAAATATAAGATGAAATAAACCCTTTCCTCCTCAAATTCCTTTTGGTCATGTTGTTTATCATAGTAATAGAAAGCTAACTATGACAGGTAGTTCTGTATGAAACAGCAGATGAAAAGGAACACAGCAGACTACTATCCCTGCAGCACTCTGGTGTCAGCTTGAATGTCCCATTGAACATCATTATGGAACATTATTAATAAAGAAAATAATGTCTTACTTTCATAAGTAAGAAAACAGACAATGTAGCCATCACTGACAGCAATCTGTTTGATTGTTTGTTTGTTTTTCCTTGACCTGGATGAAGTCCCTTCCTAGTTAGAGATACAGGCACCTTCAATCAGATTGTCAAATTGCCATTTTTTCCTAAAGACTGGATTTTTCAAATGAGGCAAAAAGTCAATAGAACAAAAGTTTGAGCAACATGTCCCCAGTGAGTTGTTTATGTGCTGCTCACAGAAAATTAAAAGTAGAGTGAATTTCCAAATGGAGAAACAGCACGATGCATCAAATTAATACAATATGGTTAGTATGTGTGATTCATGCTGTCAAGCTTCATCATGACCTACAGGGAATACAGAGGCAGTTGCTAAAGTTGACAGCAAATGAGGACATGGTAGATTGTTCCAGAGTTGAGGCCTTTCTTATTAAATAACTGATAACCAGGATGTGTCCATTTGTTGGTTGTTTTGAGACAAGATTTCACTTACATTAGGGTCAGAGATGGCCCTGAAAGTCCTATAAAACTAGGTTCAGCCATCTGTCTTAAGTAGGTCAATGAAATAAAATTTTTGCTGGAGGGATGGCTCAGTCAGTAACAGGCTTACCTTGCTGGAAGGATGTCCTGAATTTAATTTAACCCTCAGAATGTATACAAAACTATTAGGCTGCTGGTGTGTTTGTAACCCCAGTACTGTGAAAGCACAGATGAGATATCCCCGAAGCTCACTGGACAGTCATTCTGGCCTAATTGATGAGCTCCAGGCCAAGGAGAGACTGTCTCAGAGGAAGTGCATAGTCTTCCGTAGGATGACACCTAAGGTGGTCCTCCAAATCACACATTGTGTGTTATCACACACACACACACACACCACAGAGAGAGAAAACAAAAAAGAGATGCAGATAGTAGTAAAATTTATTACTGCTTACCCAAACTGAAGTCAACAGTCTCAACTCAGGAACCAACTTGACTGAGTATATTTTAGTCTGAGATTGAGTTTTACGTATGAATGTACTATTAGGAAGTGGGATGTGTGTTTTTCTGCAAAAAGCGTGCGGTTACTCTAAGGATGCCATACTGGATGAATGTCCTCTCTCAATGCTCTATGCCTGAGTTCCAGAGAATCTTCACTGACAATTGTTTTTCTTTCAAATAAAAAATCAGTAAGAGGAACAGTGTATTCAGGGATATAAAAAAGAATTGATGGTAAGTCTTGGCTTTTCTATTTATAGCCCTTATTTAGCTTTGATTAATGGGTCATATAGATGGAATTAGATTACTCTCCTGTGTGGATGAAGGTTCGTACATGAGTGTAGCCAAATTAAGGACCAGATTTTGAGTGATGGCCCTCTCCAGCTATGTACTTCATTTCCCCCATTTAAGTAGAACCCTTGCTCATTAAAAGAAAGTTACACCTTTACCTCCTGTATGCAACTATTTCTCTTCTGTGGGTTGATGGATGAGAAACATTGATTATCATTCATTCACCCATTCATTCACTTGGCTCTGTTGACTGACAAACTTAGTGTGAGATTGATGATGCTTCTTCAGTGAGAAATTAAAGTTACAAATATCACTTTTTGTCTCATCTCTTATAGGGAGAATAAAAGGAAATGTTTATGTATGTAAACAATGAAAAATATATTATGTGGAAAATTGTTTTGTGTTAGGAACATCAAGGACATATTTAGGGAAAACACATCTAAAATAAATGGCACTCCAGACTATATAATGTTGGGATGGATTATGTTAATGTTTTTCAAACAGGGTCATAATCAAAGTTTGTATATGCTATTATTATTAATATTAAATATATCAAGGATATATAGTTTCTGGTTTTTTTTTTTTTTATCCAGGTCTCTATATTTCTTTTTAAATTAAAAGCTTTACCACTGTGGATGAATCAGAATAAAATGGTGAAGTCCCAAACTCTACCAAAATGATTTACTGATTTCTTCATATATTTGTGACATTGCCCCTAATTCTCAAAGTTATTAAAAATAAGAAAATAGAAAAGCGATGAAGTCAGCAAGCTACCAGAGAAATTTGCAATTCACAGCACACATTTTCTTTGAATGGTTTTGAATTCCACAATGTGAGAACATAGGCCCAGAGGGAGCTAGAAAATATTAATCAAATTATGATGGGATATTGGATTTTAGGTCCTCAATTTTAAATCCTTTTGGTGAAAAGGGAGAAATGGGAATATACAGCCAGGCTTGATAGGAGATGCCAATCATACTAACTCAATTTAACTTTAAATAACTAATACTTTCTATGTGTCATTTAATGCTTTAGCATTACTTTTCTTCGAAATATAAGTCACTTTGGGTGGTTTTCTAATTTGGAAGGATGCTACATTTTAGCCCACCTGCAGGGAGGTCAGTTCATTGTAGTGTTAAACAGGTTTGTTTGGAGTGCAGCTAGCAGACCCGGGATGAATGATGGCCAGGGAGCAAACAGACTGCAGAAATTCCTGCTTGCCCTCTGTTGGTATACCATGGGCCGAGGATGAGTATCCTGCCAGGGATTTCTGCATCCACTCTGACCAAAAGTGTCATGTTAGAGTAAATTTCTTTGTCAAGCTGGGTCAGTTAATGGTTCAGCTAATTGAATTTGAGCTCTGCAAGTAAGCAAGGTGGTGATGTTGAGAGAAAGTTGTCCCTGTGGATCACCTTTGAATCCCTCTTCTTCAGATCCATCTTTAAGGGCTTGGGGATAGCTGAGCTATTAAGAGCATTAACTGCTCTCGAAGAGGATTTGGGTTCCGTTCCCAGAGCCCACATGACAACTTATAACCATTTATATTTCTAGTTCCAGAGACTCTGATGACCATCTCTGGCCATCACAAGTTCTGCACATGTATGGTGCACATACGTACATGAAGATAAAACACCCATACACCTAAAACATTAAATAAATAAGCCTTTTAAAATGCCCCCTAGCCATCTATAAAATTCTATGAACTTTCTTTCCTCTGTGAGTTCTTTTCTGGATGCAAATTAAAAATCAGTCCTGACAAGCTTATAAAAGTGAAGATACTAGCTTTACTACAGCTAAAACTGTACCACAAAGTGAAGCATGGTTTCATGGTAAAAGGAAGGCTTCCTAACTCACTGTTCAGGTCTCCATCATGAACTCATATGAAAGACTATGCACACCCTTTGGTGCATAGCACTGGAAAGGGCAACTTGTAACATACCTTGGACAAGATGTGGGCCTGTCAATCCTCACAAATGAAGACTTGGGATTCTGATATCTAACAGTCAGCATCCTTATTTTCTTTTCTTTCCCCTTGTCACATAACTTTTTGGTCAAGATCTGGCCTCAAACTTGCAACCTCCTAGAGCTGAAATTTCAGGTGAGGGATGCTATGCCTGACCTGCTACAGGTTCCTATCTGTGGAAATTCAGGTGGAGGGAGGGCAGTGAGCTCATCTTGTGACAGGTCTATTTCACAGACCCCAAGGCTGAACAGCTCTGAGTGATTTCCTCGTTATTTAATTGCATTGTTCTTTTCTCTGGGAGGCAAGAGTAAGCAGGTGGGTGGTGCCATGGTGGAGAGGAGAGTTGAAACTTTCTCCCAACACTTCTTTTGATTTTATAGTGGGAAACCAAAGAGACAGAAAACAAAGATCATTTCTGTATCACTGTCCTCAATAGGCTTATCTCGGGTCCTCAAATACTCACATTGAGTGTACAACTGCTCTAACTGATTTCAATATTACCCTCTAGAACAAAGGTTCTTGTACAAATAGGGTTGAAGGCTCTTCCATTGGGATGCCTGGGTTCATTTCTTATAATTCTTTGAATGAAATACAAAGCTCTTGGTCCTTTGCCATGACACTTGGGGCTCATATGATCAACTATGTGACGAAGTGTTCAGTCACATTGGTCTTTATGCCTCAGTAAATCATTGCTTCAGGTTCATTGAGCTTCTAGCAGTTGCTTAATTCATCTCTAAGCTACCTTTTGTCACCATTTTAAGTGTTCTTCAGTCCGACAAATTTCTCCATTCATTATCTGGATGAATATTACTGAATCTTCACAATTGGGCTAGACCAAGATTGTGGATACCTCTTGGTGGATACCTTCATTGAGGGAACTGACACATGAGCATCCTCAAGGTGGGTTCAGCTTATTTCAGCATTTCTTTTAGAATTTCATGCTTGTCTGTTAGAATGTGGAACATGTCTTTCATCTCCACACATTCACTCTGTAGTGCCCAGCATATATTAATAAACTGGTAAACATTGTTAGAATCTCTCACATGCTTCCTTCCTTAAGTAGTGTCATGAAGCTGATATTTGTTGAATGTATATTGGAACAAATGACTTCCTTTTGATAGAAGTAGACCTGGGAGGATAGAATTCTTGGTAATATTTTAGTGATATTGGCAGAATGTGTTTCTTACTAAACAGTACTTTTGCTTTTCTGTTATCAACATTCTTTTGAAATGCAAGTAAGCTTTTTTTTTTTTTTAAATAAGCTTTTCCTAGTATTTGTGAAATAGTCCCCAAAGAGTAAAAAAGAAGTAAGTTTCATGGTTCAAATTCTGGAATGTCAATTTTTAATCATTTCTAAACACTCATCAAGAGACATTTTTGCTCTAGATCAAGCAATTTAGATGGCGATATTATGAAGTGAACATATTTATATTTAGTTAAATGTTGAAAATATTAAAAATGAAAGAATTACCAATAGGAAATAGAGACCATGTTATGTCAAATGACTTTGAATAGCATCCTGAACATTTAGTTTGTGAGAATTAGCTATCAGAGACCTAATTTGTTAAATTGAGGCTAATGTAGAAAGTGGCCGTTTGTTTAGCCCTTTAGCTTATCTTTACATCCACTAGACAGAATTATCAAAGTGTTTTCAGGTATAAATTTATTTCTTGTTTATCACTGTGCTCAGATTTGTTCAATCTGAGAAGAATATTTGAGTGGTGTGTATGACTACTTCGGTACTAAAAACTGTGGTGTGAATTATAATGATTGGATTCTTAATCATATTTAAGTCTTCACTGTTGGACAAAGTTTTTCTCAGCTCACAAAGGTCTTGTAATCACAGGAAAGTATCTTTATTCATTGATCCTTGAATACATACACACTTGGTATCTATTTTATTGTGGCTATCCTATGCATGAGAAAAATCTTTTTTATTTGCATGCCTATTTACAGATGATTACAACTGTCATAATTTATAACTTACTTGGGAATAACTTGAAGACTAGACTGGAGTTATGCATGTAGATATGTTTTTGTTGTAGTTCTTGAATACCTCTCTTATTTTTGATTTGCCTCCTACGCTGTCAAGAGCAGCTCAAAGGAAAAAGGATTTATGCTGGCTCATGTTCAGAGGTATCGTCCATCATGGTGTGGTAGTCATGGCAGCAGGAGCCTGAGGCAGCTGGTCACAGTGCATCTTCAGTCAGAAAACAAAAGATGAATGCTTGTGCTCCTGTCATTTATCCTTTTATTATTCCCAGTTTTCCACCTCATGGCAGTTCTTTCTTCTTCTAGATCCATTGTCTTAAAGGACCAGTTAAGGTGCCTTTTGTACACTGTGATGTTTTTCTCTAGTCTGGCTCTCCATGTCTTTTTCTTGTTTTATTTCCCTTATTCTCTGGTAAGTCCAATTCCTACTCCCTGAGCATGTCACAGGAACTCTGTCTATCCCATGTACTTTTTGTGTGTTGAAAAGCTCTTTCTTGTGAAACAAACTATTAGATGAGAGATGCTTCCTGGTGGGATTAGAGTTTCCATCAATACTAGTCAGGTTCAAAGGTAAATCCTCATTTTAGGCTTTTGCTGTTCTACTGCTGAGACAAAGTAAGAGCCTTTCTCTAGATGCTCATCATCCAAGTGAACATGTGTGTTAGAACACAGACAGTGATGGAATAAGTAAGATGTATAGTATGTTACATAGTGATGCTAGATGAGGAGAAAAATAGAACAGAAGGTGAAATATTTGGTAGCTTTGGCTAGAGAGTGAAGAGAAGTTTAGCTTGATTGAGGAAGGAGGTGAGAGAATAATTCTCCTCAGAGAATAATGTTTAGGGCAAAGAGAACAGTGGTGAAAAACCCCCAGAGTGAAGTATGTACATGTAGGTGTAGTCAAGAGACAGGCCCATGCAGCCATGGAAGGTTGAGCCAAGAAATACAAAGAGACCAAGAAGATCAGAGGGTTAATGGATATCAGATGGCAGTAAACAGAGGCCTCTATACTCTCCATATTATAGCTTCAGTATCATCCTAACAGTTTTCAACAAAGCTCCTTCTTCAAATCCATTCTTAGGCCATTGTTGGACTTGTGTTTTGTATGCTCACAATGTGGAATCATGGGGAAGTATGTTGTAGTCATGGAAATGACAGAGTGTGGTTAATGTTTTAATGGTATCAATCTGGCTACTGTATTAAGAAGGGAATGAAAATCATTTCTATTTTATCTCACAGAAACAGCAAGGAATATTGTCAACAAAGTGTAAAGTATAGTTGAAGAGATGCTGAAGGTGGAGGTATAAGGAAGAGAATGGAGATCAAGGGCCAGGATGGTAATTAATTGGTCGGCCTGGTTGTGACCATGAGAATGAGTGGTTGAAGTGGGATGAGACACATCTTGAGACAGGCCTTTGGTTGCATTAACTGAGGTGATAAGACTTGTCCACTGTGGGTGGTGTCATTCCCTGAAGGGAGCCTTAAACTGTATAAGTGGAAAATAAGATCTGAGCAGCAGGATGTATTCATGCATGTTTTTTCTTGATTGTAGATATGACATGACCAGATGCTTCAAGTTCCTGCTGCTCTGCCTTTCCTACTGTGTTGGACTTTACTGTAAACTTTGAGATAAATAAGCCTTTTATCCATTAAATTGCTTTTGTCAGAGTACACTATCACAGCACCAGGGAAAGAAACTAAGTCAGTAATGGCTTCGTTATTGTGTCTCTGGAAAGGGAGTAATTTGTGATCTGTAGTTGATTTCTCATGGGCTTCTAGTTTATTATTATTGAACATTTTTCAATTGATTTGAAAAGTTTTATTAAGAGCCAGCTGTGTTATAGTCAGAGTAGTGAAGAAATGCTGTAGTTTAACAATGTAGTTTAAAATGTAGCTTTTCCCCTTCTGATATAGCAGTTGGTCACCTTCCCACCTGAAATCTAGGCCATGCTCACTCTGAAGGAATTGCCTGCACATGTTGGTAGAGGACACATTTTGTTCTTCTGCCATGACTCATACAGACTGGAAGATGACAGGGTGAGAAACATCAGACTAAGTGTGGTTTTAAATGTTATTCATTTTAAATTCCTTGGAAAATCACTCTATTCATTAAATATGAATGATTTTCTAATTATCAAGTAAACAATTTCTTTACCAGGAAGGAAGGAACAATCAAGTGTTTAATTCTGAAGAACTCATCACTGGATGTCTCCAGAGAGGACTCAGAAAACCAATGGAAGTGAGACAAACTGAAGTGTGGTTGGAAACTAGGCTGGGTAGCAGAGACAGTGTCCAAGCATCTGGATAAATGGATACAGGAGATGAGAGACACTATAATATAACAATTCCACTAGATGATAATAGACTAGTTGAAAGTGAAAGGAACTATGTATAAACTAACTTCGTTGTGATGAAAACTGTTGTGGTGCTTTTAGAGACAGAGAGAAAGGTATCTGGGCTGAGGTTCCCAGGGTGGTCTATGGCCAGGGATGTGCTAATAAGCATGGCTGATGGCTTGTCACCCATGTACATACAGAGAACACTAATTGATTCAGTGGGTTTAACATTAAAAGGGAGAGAACATGAGATTGGTAAGGGAATGGAGGATACTTGGGAGGAACTGAAGGGTAATGGGCAGTATATATGATCAAATACATTATAGATATGTTTGAAATTCCCAATGAATAATAATAAACAATTTCTATAGATAATCTAGAGGCAATTATAGCAAGAGCCAATGATATGCAGTCTTAATTCAAAGACAATACACTATATTTCTAAGTAGCACATATTTCATTAATTGGAAAATTCATGACTAAATTATCAATCGTTTATCTTTAATTACTAAACCTGGAATGCTGTAGGCATTACCCATGGTGCTCTAATGCCTCCTTCATATCCTGTATCTTGTTCTAACTCTCATTGGCCAGAGTTCAGGTTCATTACTGACTCCCTGTTTTGATTGTGCCCCTTGCCTCAAGGGTCAATGGAGGTGATTAATGACTCTATTGGAATTAACCACTTTCCTTCAACTTGGTTGTGAACCCAACAGTTTCTGTCTTTATTTGACTGTATGGAAAGCTGTAATTGTGAAACACAAACATGGAATTACTTTTTAAATCCAACAAAATGAGTGGAACTAAATTCTAGGTAATTGTGCTTTTTTTAGGCTGGGTGTTGCATTAATAAATGAAATTTTCTTCTTAGCACTCTAACTTTTTAACTCTTTTGATCATTTTCATAGTATAATTCATTACTGTTTCCAAAAACAATGCAAACTGCAAAGAGTCAAACCTACATAAATTATATGTACAAAAAGATATTCTGAATTACATTGTGGTGTCTGGCATAATGAATTATGCTATGATCTTCCTTCAGGAATGTTTGCACTCTAGCCTTGGATATAAAAGTATATATGCAGACTAAATATTCATTAATATGTTTTACAGTGGAAAATATGTCAGCTGTACTTAAATAGCTATATAACTTCATAGGTCTCTCAACTCTTTAGATGATTTCTTGCCAGAGGGATTAAAATTAAGTCAGAAATTCAGATTTCTTTAACTGCTTCATATTGTTGATACTTGGCTCTTGGCTGTGACAGAGATTTTAGAATTTATAGTGGTATTTTAGGTGTTTTCAAAAGACGATGAAATTAGGGTATGTTGAAATGCTTTTGTGCTATTGCCCCGAGGGAAAGTGATCAGCGAGATTTAATGAGCTATGCCACTTAGTTAATAAACTTGCTTCTGCTAAATATTTGTTCTGAAGTGTGATGGTTTGAATGATATGCCTTCCATATTCCCAGACATTTGAATATTCAGGCTTTCCAGTTGGTGGCATTGTTCGAAAGAGGGTTAGGAGATAAGGCCTTGATTCAGAAGTATGTCACTGCAGACAGGTTTTGTGAGCTTAAAGCCTTGTGCCATTTCAAGTTCGCTCTCTTTGTTTCCTGTTTGGGTTTTGAGGTGTGAACTGTCCCCTGCTGTTTTGGTAATCATGTCTGCCACCTGTTGCCAAGCTGTCCCTGTCATTGTTGATTCTAACCTCCTGGAGTCATAAGCCCCAAATAAACCCTTCTTTGTATAAGTTACTTTGGTCTTGGTGCTTATCACAGTACAGTAACAAATGCACCAGGCCTTGATGTTTTTTCCTGAATCAGAATCCTGTGGATGTCCCCACTGCTGTCAGTCCGAGCTCTCCAGATAAGAATAGTCAAGAACTCAGTTAATATTAAGGCGTGATATATATGTGACTTCAGATTCACATACAGAATCCTCTTGTCACATAGGGGAAACAGAACTTAATGAAGTCTTTATTTTGACTGGAGGCCTCTTTTTCATTATATAATTTGAATGATTCACATGTTGGCATTATTTCAAGATGAACTGCTGCCATCTTGAGGGGTTCAACTGGGCTTGATAACCAAAGATCATCATAGTTGGACTTGTTGGGTTTTGATATATCCTCTTGGAAGGAGGGGTTGGCAAGGAGCATGAGACCCTCAACTGCATATCCAGCCTCCTCTCCCAATGAGTCTTATGCAGTTCTGCTGTAATTGCATGCGTATAGACAAAGTTTCTGTTCCACTCAGTCCCATAACTGTTTAGTCCCAAATAAATCCGCAGATGCTTATATTAATTAAAACTGCTTGGCTGATGCTTCAGGCTTTTTATTGGCTAGTTCTCTCTTAATTATTAACCTATTTCTATTAATCACAGTCTTGGCTTACCAGTAATGGCCAGACCTCTTGCTTCCTTGGCAACTACATGGTGTCTCTCTGACTCCATGTCCTACCTTTCTCTATCCCTGTTTGGATTTCCCGCCTGGCTGAATCCTACCTGTCTATTGGTCAAAATAGCTTTATTCATCAACCAATAAAAGAAAAATATATTCACAGCATACAGAAGGACATCCATCATCACATGTGGTCCTGTGAGCTAGGGAAGGTTTAGAAATATAGGTGGGGAGGGATGTAAGGAGGGGACT